CTGTACCATACGGTCTTGTAAGAAACAGATGTCTGTCCTTGGGGCAGAGAAGCGGGGGACTGCAATTTCCCGCAGTGATTTGTTTGGCAAACCCAAGGATTAGGAAGCAGATGTGCTCTCACGTACGGACTTTGAAGGCACTCAGACTTGGCAGTCTCACAAACACCTGTGCTTCTCTGCAGGACCTGGAGTGCCAAAGGCCATCGCCAACCATCCTGCGGTAGGCCCGGGAGCATTAAATAACCCAGCCTAGTACTTGTTGAAGGAAGGTACTAATTCTGGGGGAGAACTATGGGTAGAAAATATTTTTCCCCCCAAGTGATATAGATTCTCAGAGTAGAAAGAAGAAATTTTTTCAAACAGTCAGGAACTCAGGGATAAACATATTCACCCAAAAGGGCGGACTCCACTGTGATGAATTCAGTGTCCTGGATGCTTTAGCTTAAATCTGTATTTCACAAACTTCAATAATCTTCCTGCCACTTTCCTAAAAGCTGCCACATCCACATACCATTAATTATGAAATGTTCTTAATCGACTTTAAATTGAGACACCCCAATTTTATTTGTTTCATTAATTAAATTAAAAAGCTTCTGCACAGCTAAGGAAATAATCAACAGAGCAAATAGATAACCTACAGAATGGGAGAAAATATCCACAAGCTATACGTCCGATAAAGGGCTAATAATCAGAATCTACAAAGAACTCAAGCAAATCAGTAAAAAAAAGTCAAACAACCCTATCAAAGAGTGGCAAAAGACATAGATAGATTTTCCAAAGAAGATAGACAAATTGCCAATAAACATGAAAAAATGTTGAATATCACTAATCATCAGGGAAATGCAAATTAAAACCACAATAAGATATCACTGTATCCTGTTAGAATGGCTTTTATTAAAAAGTCCAAAAATAACAGATGCTGGTATGGATGCAGAGAGAAGGGAACGCTTATACACTGTTGGTGGGACTGCAAATTAGTACAACCTCTATGGCAAACAGTATGGAGATTCCTCTAAGAACTTAAAGTAGACCTACCATTTGATCCAGCAATCCCACTACTGGGTATCTACCCAAAGGAAAAGAAGTCATTTTATCAAAAAGACACCTGCACTCAAATGTTTACTGCAGCACAATTCACAACTGCAAAGATGTGGAGTTGACCCAAGTGACCGTCAATTCATGAGTGGATCAACAAAATGTGGTATATGTACACCATGGAGTACTACTCAGCCATAAAGAAGGATAAATGAATGCCTTTTACAACAATTTAGGTGGAACTGGAGACCACCATCCTAAGTGAAGTATCTAAAGAATGGAAAAACAAACACCACACATACTCGCTATTAAATTGGAACTAACTGATGAGCACATATTTGCACAGAGGGAAGTAAAACTCAGTGGAAATCAAGCAGGAGGACGGGGGAGAAGAAGAGGGGCAAAAACTTACCTAACGGGTACGATGAACACTATTTGGGTGATGGGCACACTTACAGCCATGACTCAAGCATTACATAAGTGATCCATGTAACCAAGAACATTTGTACCCCCTGAATATTTTGAAATTAAAAAAATAATAATTATATAAGAAGGTAAAAAGAGTCCACAATACCATTGATTTGACCTGCTTCTTATATACTTTTTGAATATACATTAAACTAAAATTAAAAAAAATTATCTATTATCCTATTTACCACTACTTAGGAACAAAACCTGCCTTATGTAATAAAAAATATACTTTTTTGCAAATAGTTTGAAATATTCTCTCCCTTTGGTTTTCTACACTTTTTAAGTGAGTCAAATACAGCCATATATCTAACTGTAACAGTATCTGGGGGTAAGGGAGGGATAAGCTGTCTTGGGGAGAGGGCATGAGACCAGCCCCACACTTTCTCCACCACTTAAGGAAGAGGCTTTTAGAGGTGACAGCATTCATGAGGCGGAAGGAGCCCACGTGTGCAGGCTGCCACCAGTGGCACAGTGGCAAAGGGGGCAGGGGTCCACAGCAAAGGAGGGGAACACCTATGTGGTCACAGAGAGAGCTTGGGAATGAGCCATATGCAATCACACTCCCTCTTCCTAAGTAGGGATGGTTACCTTCCTTAAAGGGAGGTAACTTAAGGGAAAGGGAAAATTACCCTTGGCTATATGAATGAGACTTCTCTATCCCAAACCACCTAAACAACAGATTCCTCCTCCAGTAAGTTAAAAAATAGTTGTTTCACTTGGCTAAAAAGAAAAAGAAGGGAAAATAGATTGACATGTTTATAAGGTGATTGCCAAGTCAGAAACAAACAGCAATGAGAAACAGTAGAGAGCCTATCGTGATACTGAAGTATTTACCGTAGTAATACTTATTCACCTTGTCGAGTCAATAATACAGATTAAAACAGAAATGTTTAAATAAGTAAATATTATACACGTAAGTCAAACCACTGAATTTCAGGTCCAGAGTAAGGCTTCAATGATTCAGACTGCCTGTTAACATTCTCACTAGAATGGCAAAATCACCACATGTTCACAGGGAAAGAAGCCCAGTCTACTCAGCAATTCAGAATGTGAGAGAGCAAAGGACCTCTACTGTTAGCAAACTGAGATTTATTCACATAGTCATTAAGAAAATGTTAATGCACCAGTAACTGGAAAACAATTTCTCTTTAGTGGTCTATACATTCTTACTCTATTAATTTAATTTCATCTCACATATGAAAGAGAATTTGTTACCTTGTCTTTTCTGGTGCCTAAAGGAAACCTGCATTCCTCTATTTTCAAAGCCAGTGTGGCAGCATCTGCAAATCTCTCTCTCTCTGACCTCTGCATCCATCGTTATATCTTCTTCTCCTCTCTTATAAGGACCTACCTTTGTGAATATATTGGGGTCACCTGGATAATCCAGGATAATCTCTCCCCATTTCAAGATCCTCATCATAATCACATTGACAAAATCCCTTTCGCCATGGAAAGTAACATATTTATAGGTCTCAGGGGTTAAGATGTGGACATCTTGGGGTGAGGGCGTTGTTATGTCCACCACAAATGCCCTGACCACGTTCCCTGTGTAGGCTCACTTATCTCTCTTTCTTCTAGCCTATAAGATTCATGAAGACAGTATCTTCACCGTAGACCTGCTGCGGTATTTGGTGCATGGCAGTGGTGTGCTCTTAAATGCTTAACAACAGGTTCTCCAAAAGATAAAGAAAACAACCTTGATTTGTAGCATTTGCAATTTCTGTGCTTTACATTCTTTCATCATGGTCAGTTTCAAGCTAATGACTTCACTGAATATGGAGTTGGGAAAAGATACAGAGCTGTACACCACTTGACAGATATAATAAATATCTCTTTATACAATATAATACATATTATATCTGTCTATATCCCCAAGGACATAGATAATAGTAAAATGAAGTAAAATACTTAGGGTGTGATGAGTTTTGAGTATTATCTTTGTTTTTATTTTAATTTA